CCACCAGTGGGATGAGCTGGCTCCAGCACGGAAAGCTCTTGCCAAAGCAAGGCTGCACCAAGTGCAGAGTGCTGGCTGGGCCTGATCCCAGTGCTCACCAGACTCACCAGGCTGAGTCATGGACACCCCATGAAACAGCACCCAACAGCAGAGCAAGGACTGGGTTTGAATGGAAAAAAATCAGGCTGAGCTGGCACATGCCTAAGGCTGGGCCTGATCCCAGCTGGCCACTGCCATCCATGGCTCCTCTGACAGAGCTGGGCTGGCAGCAACAGCAACTCCAGTAAAACACACAAACCCACGAGCACAGGCTCTGGGGGACGTGGGCAGCAATGACACCCACGGGTGCGGGGCTGTGACGTGGCACAGCTCCCTGGCCAGGATGACGCTGTGCTGACCTGGGATGGTGTCCACGCCTTTCTCCTTCAGGTCCGGGAAGTACTCCAGGAAGAACCCGAGCGTGTCATCTGCAGTGATGCTCTGGAACTTGAACCGGTTCACGTAGGCCTGTGGGGACAGATGGGGCTGATGCCAGACACTCACCCCAGCAGTGCTGCCCAGCCCTCTGTGTGCTCCACCTCATGGGGGAACCCATTCCAGCACCCTGCATCCCCAGGGATACCCCTCAACATTCCCAGCACCTGCTGCTAGCACAAGGCTAGGCTCTGCCTTCATCTTTATTCCCCTATTCACATTCCCGTTTCCCACCTCTTCTTCCTCTCCCCAGCCACCCTCTCAGCCTGTCCTTCCCAGGGTCCTGCTGTGCCCTGGCCTCCTGCTGTGGCATTTTGGATGACTTTGCAGCTCACACCCACCTGGAGGAAAGCATCAAACTTGCTCTGGTTGCCCACAAGATGGGCCAAGTAGCTAACGAAGCAGTATCCCTTCTCATAGGGTGTTTCGTTGTACGTGTCATCTGGATTGACACCTAGAAAAAGGCAAAACCCTCAGAAATCTCTGCCCACCTGCAAAACAACACAGCCCTCACGTGCACCAAGATCTGTGCTGGGCACAGCCTATCCCATCCCTCCCGGGTCCCATCACCCATGCTGGTGTTACTGGCAGCCATGGAACAGCCCAGCTCGCCCCAGCTCCCCCGTGAGCACCCCACTGCCCCGAGCCCAGGAACACCCTGACCTGGCTCGATCACCACCCGCAGCTTGTTGAGCGGGTGATCCTCCCCGGTGGCGTCCATGTGCTGGCGCAGGAGGGCCCTTCCCGTGGCAGCCTCCAGGCAGGTGTAGGGCAAACCTGGGCAGAGACAAGAGGAGGCATTCGGGGAGCCCGGCCAGACCCCTGTGCACTGCGGGCACTGCGGGCACTGTGGGCACTGAGAGCACAGTGGGCACTGAGGGCACTGTGAGCACTTTGAGCACTGCAGGCACTGGGACGGAACAGCATCAGTGCATGAGCTGGGAGAGCAGGACACTCACACACAGGAGCTGGGATGGCAGAGCTGCAGGGAGCCACGGGGCAACCCAGCCCCAGGCAGCGAGAGATTTGAGCCACTTCAATTTGTGTGGATACAGCAAATTGTGCTGGGAGAACACGAGATTCTGGACACGACTGTCCAGGGGGGAGCTCAGGACTGGTATCAGCTCCACAGGAGGATGGGGAAGGTGAGGCAAGGACACAGTGCCCATATTCCTGCCAGGGGCTGCAGGAATTTTTGCTCCATCTCAGAGCAAAGGCCACCAGAAATCACAGACTGGTTTGGACTGGAAGGGACATTAAAGATCACCTCGTTTCACCCTCTGCCATGGGCAGGACACCTTCCACTAGA